TTTTACTTCTCCCACTTTTTTTTGTTCTCTTTTGTTTTTCAGTTTTATTTTCTGGGCAATTTGATTTGAATGCTGTGCTATTGTTCGGCTTCTGCCATTATTAGTCTCATGAATTTAATGGGCCTTTAATTATTTCTTATAATCTTAAAGCTATTATGTCAGCTTATAAGACAGCTGACATAAAAACATAAATAAATAAAAATTATAAAAATATGAATAGTTAAATGCCAAAAATCGTCAAAACTTGTCGCTCAGCTTGAAAACTAAAATCTGAAGCAGTCGCCAGCTTAAAGTATTCATTATGTTTAAGCGTTATGCATTCTAGAAGCCTCTTCTAACTCTATAGTTAAAACTGTTTGTCCTGATTGACTGACTGACTGACTGACTGACTGACTGACTGAATGACTGACTGATTGGTGATCAACGCACAGCCCAAACCGTAAGAGCTGGGAAGCTGAAATTTTCACTGTAGTTACCTTATGTGATGTAGGTGCACGTTAAGACGGGGTTTCGGGAAATTCCACCCGCAAGTGTGGAAAAATCGCGAAAATCGTTTGTATGTAACTTTTTTGTTTGCCATCCGATCGGACCCAAACTTATTTTCAAAGATCTATGTTCAAATTCATTTGAGGGTTATTTCACACTTTTAGGAAAATCCATTCCTCCTTGGTGGAAATGGAGGTCCTTCGGTGGAAAATGCATTGTTTAAAGATTTTTATGGTGAATTTTAAGTTTTGTCCGATTTGCATAAAAGTTGATTGATTCCCGTCCGATCAGTTTCAAAATCATTTTCAAAGCTTTTTGAAAACATTGATTTTATAACATACGTGCCACGGGCAAGGCAGGGTTATACCCGCTAGTAAATAATATTAGATTGTGGGTTATGTTTAAGCAGAATGCTTAAATAAATCTAGGTAGTCTAAGAAATTATAGGGAGCGCTGGGGAACTAGATCATTTGTTCGGAGTGGTTCGCATAGTTCCTTCAAAAAATATGAACTGAAACTGCTTCGTCTTCAATTTAGGATATTTTTTTGGAACTCTTGATCAATTGATTTATGTTTCTCCTATTGATTTTCATATTCCTATATTGGAATAGAGTTTTTCCTCGATGAGAATTATAGTCGAACCATGTTGGGATAGCTTCTCCTGCAGTTGCTTGTCTTCTGTCTTATATGTTGTTATTGCTTTTAATGTCTGCTTTCAATTAGTCTATATAGTTTATTAGTGCTGATAAATATTTGATAGATAGTCGTAGTTATTATTGGGTTATTCTGCCCCGTCCATTAAACTTGCTGCAGAGAACTCGAGAACTTTAAAGGCAACTGAACTTCTGCCAACTTGTTCAGCTGCATTACCTGTCCGCTGTCCCTTTGGAGCAACAAATTAGCTGCAACAGCAACGCCTTCTGCCTCGCTTAGCCGTTGTTGCAACATCCGGAACTTTGTTGAACAGGAGTGGGGGAGGGGAAGGTGGTGGTGGAGGGGGCGAGGAAGTCGCCTCGTAGCTCGTAATTTACGAGCCAGCAATCGCAGACGACTATCGTAATGGCTGGTAACAGCATTTGTGCATTTTGTTTAGCCATAAATCATATTGGTAATGCAACAACAACAACGACAACCAGACTGGATGTACCCCTCCCCCTCCTCCTCCCCCCTCTGTTCCAGTCGCAGCCTCAACTCTTGCTGCCCTTTCAGAATGCGCTTGGACAACATTGTTGAGCATCGTCTGCGACGCAGTTTCTTGACTTACTTTTCTCTCTATCTTCTTCTTCCTCTCGTTATTATTGCTGTTGTTGTTGTTGTTGTTGTTGTGAAACGCTTTTGGCTAATTGATTTACAACACTTTCCAACCTTTCCCAATACTAACTGACACCAGCAGGGTTCTTAACGCCTCTGTTTTTTTACCCTGCCATACATAGTGTATATCTACATATACTATATATACATATATATTTTTTATCAAACTCGTGAGCTGCGTAGAGCGCGGCGCGGGTGGGTAGCTTGCTCAATGCTTGATTGTGTGACAATCGTAGGGGCATGTACATAGACTTGTGTGTATATGGTCGCTTATCAACACTGTTGTTGTACAATACTGCATACGTGTGTGTGTGTGTGTGTGTGTGTGTGTGTGTGTGTGGAGTGCTGGCTCCCTGGGGCCGCATCGGTTGGCGCGAACTGTTTGCGAAAATAATTTATGGCAAACTGTTGATTGTTGACATGGGGGCCCCAGAGCTCAAGTTAAAGCCTCGCAGTCTGCCCGCGAGTGTGTGTGTGTGTGCGTGTGTGTGTGTGTGTGTGTGTGTGTGTGTGTAGAATTTATCATTAGTTTTTATATGTATACAATTTGATGTTGCTTTCAGCTTCGCGAAGCGAAACCAAAACGAAACGCGACGAGCAAAACAAAAGCCCCGAAACAAACGACAGCTGCTTGGGGCCTGTTGATGGTTTTCAAAAACATTGCGTCATCTTTACTGACTGCCGACTGCCCCCGGCTCCACTCCCCCGCTCCTCCCGCTCTGCCCGTAGCGCCCGCCCGTTGACGATCGGAGCAACATGTCGAGGCACGTTGCTCTGCCGCTCGCTTCCTAGAAAATCGCCACAAATTCTACGAACTGGCGCACTCGACGCAACGTCAGTTGTGTACAGAAATACTATGTACTCGATACTTGTGGGTAGGCATCGATACTATGCTTAAGCGTTTACCCGTACGTCGCAGACGTAACGCCCAGAACTGTAGGCTGGTTCTAATTGGAGTTCAATTAGGTGTTTTGAGAGCTAATTTAATCTGTGCATAGTTCGACTAACAGTTACCCTGTACTTACACACATTCCGAAGTGTTTGTTTATTAATCTTTTATAATATATCTACTTTAAATATCATCAATAATCCAATATTTCTGGCTACTTCAAACACAACTAGCTACGGTATTCTAGTATTTTGTGTTATTTCTCTTGGAACTAGTTCCAGTGAGTCTCATTTGTTGAATCAAATGAACCTCTTCATGGGGAGCTCCTTAAAACAATGTGGCCTTGATCTAGATACTAGAGTCTATTCAACGCTTCTTATCAGCTGACGTTTATTTCTAGCTTTACAGAAATACTATGTACTCGATACTTGTGGGTAGGCATCGATACTATGTTTAAACGTTTACCCGTACGACGCAGACGTAACGCCTAGAACTGAAGGCTGGTTCTAATTGGAGTTCAATTAGGTGTGTTGAGGGCTTATTTAATCTGTGCATGGCTCGACTAGCAGTTACCCTGTACTTACACACATTCCGAAGTATCTGTTTATGAATCTTTTATAATATAATTATTTTAAATTTCATCAAAAATCAAATATTTTTGGCTACTTCAAACACAACTAGCTACAGTATTCTAGTATTTTGTGTTATTTCTCTTGGAACTAGTTCCAATGAGTCTCATTTGTTGAATCAAATGAACCTCTTCATGGGGAGCTCCTTAAAACAATGTGGCCTTGATCTAGATAATAGAGTCTATTCAACGCCTCTTATCAGCTGACGTTTATTTCTAGCTCTTATCAATGGGTATAAAATTAATTTGCTTTGATTTCGTGCTCGGCAAGGGGTGTACGTGCCCCTGCCTCAAGGTTTTGTTTGTTTCCAACAAAGTTCAAACTACATTTGATCACTAATCAAAATTAATTTGAATATAATATACAATATTCTCTTCTCAGATATTTTGCATTCGAATTTCGATTTGTTTTGTTTTTGCAATTAATAATTTGAATGCTTTTCAGGCAATTCTGCCTAGTTCTTCGTTACACTTGAGAGCTTCTCTGATTTATGATCAAAACAAGCAGCAAATGTTCCGATCTCATATTCTGAGGCCTCAGGCAAACAACGAACTCCATTGTGTGCTGCCCGGCCCAGAACCCAGAACACAAATTAGGCACGAGTGCTACGAATAATCGCATTATAAATGCGCAGTAAGCAGAGTTTCGATTCGATACGTAGAGCTCCCGAAGAAATCAGTAGAAACCAGTTCAAACTTGCAGGTCTCCCGCTAGATATTCCCAGGTGCGAACCCGCTTAACCTTCACCCCTTAACGTGAACCCGCCTTAAATGTTTTAGCATAATATATTAGTAGACTTCGATTGAAGATGGAGAAGTCGGATGATAACTTCCCTATGAATCAGATCGGATGCATTTATATAGGCATTGATATCATTTTCAAAATGAAATAATTCAACAGTTTTATTAGTTAACTTTTGCTCAATTCAAATAAGTTTCAGTAACAAAATTGTAATAGATACTTAAATATATTCATGTTGTGTTTTTTGTTTTTTGTTTTTTATATTTTTTATGTACATCGCGCTTTAAGTGGGAAAGATGTGTAAGTAAGTATTTATAGCGTTAACATCTGATATGTTCCCAAAACAAAATTTAATTAAGTTTACAGTTTTTTGTTGCTGATTCAACATGGGCACTTACTATATATACATACATATATGTGTGTATATAAATACATTTATTTAATGTATATCGATTCATTAATGCATAAGATAACAACTCTTAATTGACTACGAAATAAAGGCACCTGAGTTCAAAGTGTTATTGCCAAATGTAAATAAGGTAAACAAATAAAAAATAAAACTCAAAAAAAGTGTGTATACGGATTTACACAGTTTGCATAATTAAAAAAGGATACATAAACAAAAAGGGAAATAATAATAATATTAAACGTAATATTTAATTCATTTTAATTAATTGTATGTTGATATTTGCGGTTCCCTTGGCAAAAAAAAAACAAATAAAAAAATAAGAAAGGATTCTCGTGGGTTTGCGGTTGATTGACTGTTGATTGACTGTTGATTGACTAATCTGTGCGATATCGCTGATATGCTTGATATGCGTCTATATAGTATTTATGTACACATGTTATGTATATGCTATTTTATGTATTTGTATAAAAGTACTTAAATGGTCTTTGTCCCTGAATGAAATGCGCTTGGCTTCTAAACCCGCCCCTAACTACTCTTAGAATTGTTGGCTCTTGTTGCTCTGTTTGCGTTGCTGACTAGTGCGTGTTTTTTTTTCTTCTTTCTCTCGGTCCCTGCTCGGGCGCCATCCCAGGCCCAGTCCCAGTCCCAGGACCTGCCCCGTCTATTGCATCTTGTACAGCTGTGGCGGCTCCTTGGAGGCCGGCATGCCCTGATCGTACTTGCCCAGCTCTGCCTCGTACAGCAGATTGTTGATCAGGTGCTTCACCACGATCTTCGACTTGGATGTCTTCAGCTTGCGTATGGTGATGGCCACGTACTCACCAAAGACTCCGTACTCATCCACATGGCTGGCACTCAGATTGTTGCTGCTGTTGTTGTTGTTGTTGTGGCTGCTGCTGATCTTGGGCGTGGCAGCACTGCTTGAGATGCCGCTGCTCGCTGTTGTCGTCGTCGCCAGCGAGTGCAGCTCCAAGGATGTGGATGAGTGGTGGTTGTTAGTGGTTATATGATTGCCCATAGTTGGCGAGGAGGAGAGATCACGATCACGATCACGTTTTTGTGCCATGTTATTGGAATGTTGTTGTTGTTGTTGTTGTTGCTGCTGCTGCTGCTGCGGCTGTGGGTGCCCATTGCCGTTGTGGCTGCTGTGGCTGAGATTGTGGCTAAAGTGTTGCTGGAGCGTATGAAATGCGATCTGATTGTGGTTCATCTGCTGATGCTGGTGTTGTTGCTGCTGCTGCTGGTGGTGCGTTGCCGTCTGCGACTGCGTCGTGGACTTGATCGGCGTCAAAGTCAGAGCCCCGACCACGCCCCCGACAATACCAACGCCCACGCCAGCACTGAGATCACCGCCATCCAGCTCATCCATCTGCGCCTTGCGCTTGCGCGGATTATATGTCAGATCCGTGGGCTTATAGTAGCTCGAGGAGAGCGGCGTGCTCGTCTGCCGGTCGAGCATTCCCAGCTCAGGTTCGTGCTCGATCTGTGTACCAAAGACAAAGGAGCCAAGGCGAACCAAGAAAACGGATTGAACGGTTGGTTAGTTAACTCTTAGTTATTCCAGACAATTTTCATTACAAATGTATCCCCATTCAACCCTTATATATATACAGTTCTTATTTGAAGTGCATGTGTATATGCCCCATAATTTGTGTGAGTACAGGGTATTTGAGTTACGACCCATTGGGTCAATTAAAATACAATTAATCGTGCTGGGCTTAAGTAGTCGTACTTACAATTTCTGTTTTCACATCTTCGGCGCTGATATTGCAATAGCTCTCGCCATCCAAGTCGGAAGAGGAACGTGTCTGCGAAAGAGCGTGCAAAAACAAATCGTTAAAAATTAGCAAAAGCCGCAGCAGAAACAAACACGAACAACAACTACAACTACAACAACAACAATCATGGCAAATGTAAAGAATTTGCCAGACAAATAATAATAACAAAATCAACAACAACAACAACTACAGCCAAATAATAATAGGCAAAGACGAGGCAACAAAAAATAAAGCGCAGAGAAAAACAAATTAGAATAGTAATAAAAAATAAATAAATAAATGTGGGCAACAGACACGGACACAGACACAGACACACTTTGCATACAGATGACTGCGGGAGAGCCAGCGGAGATTAAATTAGCTGACGGCGGGGCAGAGGGTGGCGACGCGGCGAAGTCAACATTGAAGTGGACCAACGAGTGGCCAGAGAAACAGACGAACAGACGAAAAGACGAATAGACGGACGAAGCGAACGAACGAAACAAAAATCAAAAACAAACGCAAAACGCAGCGCAGCAACTAGCTGTATTGAAGCTGCTGCTGCTTAGGCGGGTCCATTGCCAGCGCCGGTGGGCGGGGTGGGGCAGCCGCTGAGGGGCAGGGTCGGCGCAAAACGTGTAGCTGCCGATTTCTACGGCTGATGCAACACACATATGGCTATTGCTATGGCTAACGTAGCCGCGCAGCAGCGCAAATCAAAGCCAGTTGACACACACACACACACATATACACACAGGACACACATACTTGCACAACAGACGACGCTTATCAAGCGCATGCGACGCAATAGCAGCCAGCGCCAGCACAGTGACAAATAATTATTGCAAAGGTCCGACGCGATAAATTGATAATATATCGATTAATTAATTTGTTATGAAACCAACTCGAAATAACAGGTGAGAGCAACGATTCCTTCTACAATTGCAGCGCTGAGTGTCACTGCAGTGTTGCCACCCAATCAATATTTTTGATGTGTGCAATTTTATGCAAGGGCAAGGCGAATTATTAAACAAAAGGAGTACAAAGAAATTGTGTAAGTAGCAGTGCATATGTATGTACATATTGTGTTTTGTTACTAAAATGCTCGTGCCACTGTGCGCCACAGTTTTTGCTGTTGCTGGCTGACGAACCGCTAGACACAGAGCCAGCAGCGTCGGCGCGTGTGCTGCTGTTGCCGCAAAACAAGTCAAACCACTCACGCATACAAGCACAGGTATACAAGCACACATACACACGTACACTCATTCTCACTCGCACGAAAAGCAAAAGCTTTACCGGAACGACAACAACAAACAAAAAAGAATACTGCAGTTGAGTATGCGCGATAGCTGAATACTCTATCTAACTGAATTGGTAGTGATATGTTCAGCGAAATAGATTTTAATTTAGTACGATTATGAAAAGATTGCAATAGTATGGGTTTATGTATGCATGTATGCATGTACGTGCACGTGTTCTTGATTGTGCATGTCGTACAAACATGTCTATATGTACATACCGCATATACCCTGCGGCATTACAGTGTATAGAGCATAAGAAATGAGAAATAATATGCACAACAAAATAAAATCAATAAGAAATAGGCAATAGGCAATAGGCAATAGGCGCTTACCACAGCAGCTGAGACGGCTGCAGCGGCGGCTGCTGATGATGCTGTTGCGTCGCTGCCGCCGCTGTTGCCCGCACAGCCATTGGAATTGGCATCGGAGACCGCTGCATCGGCGTCCATGGTGTGTTCCCGTTCCCTGACGTTGGCCGCTGCTGCAGCGGCTGCCACAGCAGCAACAGCGGCAGCGACGCGAGCAGCAAACTCTTCGTGCTGCTGCTGCTGCTCAACCTGTTGCTTGCCAGCAGCTGTCAGCTGTTCCAGATCTAGGCTATGCATCAGCGCCAGTTTATCAGCTGCTTCCGAGTCCAGCAGCGCTGCCGCTGCCGTTGCAGCCGGCTCAACGTCGCCGTCAACGGCGGCATCCAAGACGGCGGCGTCAACGTCGCGTTCGCCGTCCAAAATAAATCGTATGGCCTCATATGCAAACCACATGGGCTGATAGTGAACGCCGCGGCTGCGTCCGTTGAGCACCTTGCCGTGCTCGCGATGGAAGGAGGAGCGCAGCGATTTGATTTTCGAGCGTATCGATCGAATTTCCGTGCCATATTTTTGGCTTAGCAGCTTCAAGGCCTCGTATTTGGTCTGCTTGATGTGGTAGCCTTTGGTGTTGGGGTCCCAGAGCACGCGCTGGCGCCGATAATCCTCGATGAAGCCCAAGATCGTTGCGCGCGACCACTCAATGCGGTCCGCGGGCGATGCCAGCGCCGACGGCGACGGCGGCAGCGCTGCGGCGTCCGCAATCAATGCGATGGCATTGGAGTTGGCGTCGAGTTTGTACTGCGCTGCGCTGGCGCCGCTGCTGGACATCGTGCGGAGAAAGTTAACTGTTAAGGAGACGGTGGTGCTGCTGCTGTGACGGTCGGTGCAGTGGGTGGTGTGTCTGGTGTGGCTGTGGTTGGTGCTGGTACGGTTGGGCTGGATGGATACGCGCGCGCGCGCAAGCGGCTGCCGGAGAGAGACAGAGACAGATAGAGAGGAAGGTAGCAAAGAAGGTAAACGCAACGCAACGCAAAACGCAACGCGACGTAAAAAAAAGCGTCCACAACACGTTGCTTTTGACTTTCGACTGAGGCGGCGGCGGCCGCGGCTAGCGGTTGTGTGGCAGAGGAAGCGTAGCGGCAGCAGCAGCAGCAGCAGTAACGGCAGCGGCAAGTGTGGCGGCGGCGGCGACCAAACGGCAGCTCAGCTGCACTTTGTGCGAGAGAGCGCGCGACTGAGCGATGCACAGTGGTACAAAACTGAAATGCAATTTACCAAAATGCTAATAACTTGGATTAAATATGAGAACCGTTTTAATATGCATAGAGTAGAACTTTTTCAATAAAATGTAAGCAACACACTAAAATCCTCTTTGATTTTTTTTTTAATACTGTAACTATAAATATGAAAAGAAAGTGTTCCTTTCGATGTTCATTTAATTTGTTATTAATATTTGATAAGATTATTTAGAAACTTTCTTTAAACTGGGATTTTAAAACAATTTGCCAAACCTTTTTTAAAATAATTATTTGTTAATCAATTGGTTATCATTTTTATCGTAATGTGAAAAATATAATAGCTATATTATATAAATACCGAATTGGTTAAATTGGGTTTGACAGAAAGAAGGATAATAAACTGCTATCAATGGATCGTTTACCACGTGGGTTCAGCTTTTGTTAGCCAGTGTGTACCACTGTGCGACGTCGCTTCGTCCAAAATCAACGCAAAGGTGTGCGACTCTGTGTTTGCTGTGCTTGTGTTGGCGTAGGCACACGTACGGGCAAGCTTGCGCGCAAGTGTGTGTATGTGCTGGTTGCAGCGGCACGCGGGGGCTTTTTTTCGCTCACTCAACGACTCGACATAGCCGCTGCTGCTGCTGCTGCTGCTGTTGTTGTTGCGGCTGCTCTGCCCGGAGACCTGTTGGTTGCTCGCTTGATAATGCGACGCTTTGTTGTTGTTGCTGTTGCTGTTGTTGCTGTTGCTGCTGCTGCTGCTGACTGTTTTGGGTTTTCTATTTGTTGCTGCTATCAGCTGTTTTATTGCATGTTGTTGTTGCCGCAATACATACGTGCGAAGTGACGTTGCTGCCGTTGTTGTTGCTTGCTGCTTGCTGCCTGCTGCTGGTGTTGCCACTCGACGTTGACGTTACGATCCCCCGACACGTTCGTTGTTGTTTTCGCCGCTTCGTCGTTCGTCGTCGGTCGTTCGCTGTTGAAATCACGATTTGTACTAATTTCACATATTTAAACTGTGTGTGGCATGCGCGCTGCTCCAAACGGGCCAGTTGCTGTTGTTTTTGTTGTTGTTGCTGTTGTTGTTGCTGCTGCTGCTGTTATTGTTGCTGCTGCTGCCGCTGCTGCTGCTGTTGGCCGTAAGTTCGTCACTTGGTTTTGTGCTCGCCCCACGCCCCCGCCCTTACGCTACAAACACCTTCCAATCTTGTTGTTGTGGTTTTAGCACTTTAGCACAGATCATTACCGCTATATCATGAGCTTTGCCAAAAGCTTAGAACTTCTCTTTAAACTTCTCTTTACCTTATGGCAAAGCTTATTAAAAATCGAAATATCTTTACGACTTTTTTGGTTACTTAATATTTTTTCTAACACTCTGTTGAATATCGATAGCAAATCAAATTATTTACATATTGGTGTCAGTTAGGGTATAACAATTTCGGCGCCCAAATCGTTATTTTCATTTCTCGTTTCTGTTCAGTTTCGCCCGTGCGGCGATCGCTGGTGCCTGCTGCTGCTGTTGCTGTTGTCGCTACCGTCAACGGCAACACGTTGCACAGTGGGCCTGTGTTGATTGCGATGCTTCTGCGCATGTGACGAAGGCTGCCAAAAAAAATTAGCTGGCTATTCGTGTAGCAAAGTGGCGGCCATGACGCTGGATAGGCTAGTCGCGTGTGCTCGTTAAGATTTTGGCTACAACATACATTGTACGTATGTATGCACAGATGAGTACGTGTGTTTGTGTACTGTGGCTGTGTGTATGAATACCTTATCTTATGTGTTTAGTGGCACTCTTTGACAGTGGATGACAAGCTTCTTATAATTTGACGAAAATATAAAACAAAAACCTAATGTTCGTTCCAAGTGTAGTGCGCTTTGTACCACTGTGCTACGGCAGCTACAGCTGTAAATTTTGTTGCCGTCGTTGAGAAGTTGTTATCGTTGCCGCCGCCGCTGTTGGACGAAACAAAATAACAAAAACAAAATTCGCAAAAAAGCTTCACAACGCGGTAACAAATTTTGCGAGTCAGCAGAATCGCAAAAAGAATCAAAAAAGGAATTGCATTTCACGGCAAATTTGGTTGTTTTTGTTAATCAAGGGGCGGGTTGTTAGGTTAGTCGATTGCCGGAGGGGCAAGGGAGCTGACTAAAAACAGCAGCGTCGACGTCGCTCACGTAGGCAGTTTTGTTTTTGCATTTTGAGTTGACAACTTTGTTGCCCGCCTGCTTCGATCGATAAACGATATTGAAAAGCTCTCCCTCTCTTCCTAGCTTGTGGTCTCTCTTTCTCTCTCTCTCTCTCTGCCCTTCGTATGCAAGTCCTCAACACGTGCAGGTTTTAATTTCGCCGAATTTTATCGTCGTAAGGCGAATTTACTCACGCATACACATGCATAAACTGAGTTAGAGCTTGTGCACTTCGCAATGCATTTGTCCGCTTACTACCTTACTCTCTCTCTCTCCCTCTCTCTTACTCTCTCCCTTTTTTCGCTCATGTCACCTCTAATACTCACAGCATTTTAACATTGCGGAAGCTTTCGTGACTGCTTCTGCTTCTTGCTTTAACTGCTCATTATCAAGCGCCGTTGCTGCTGTCGCTGTCTCCGCCTCTGCCACCGTCGACTGTGGCAGCGTCATGTTTGCCGCACCTACGATAACGGCATTAACTTGACTTGACTTTCAGCCCGATCCCCTTCCTATGCCCTATTGAAATACCGCATCGCATCAACATGAACAACAGCCGCTCAGAGAAAGCAACGAAAATGCTTAGACTGCAGCGCGTAGCGCGCCAGCAAAAAATGAATCTGAAATTGGCTCTGACTGCGACAGGCGCTACCGCTACCTTCGCTGACATCGCTGCCAACGCTTGCGTCGCTGTCAACGTAAGCGACGCGCGTCGTGGCGCAAAGCTTTGCATTCAATTTTCGTTTCAAGTTGACAAATTGACGTTCAAAGTTGTTTGCGCAGCATTTCAGTTACAGTTTCAGTTTTGCTGCCTGCCTTTTCCGCTTCCCACATTCCCCGCGATTCTCCTGACCGATTCCATTACCGTTGCAATCGCTACACACCCATATCGTTGCCTTTGTCAGTTCTGGTTCCTTATTATTTTTATGATTTTTCACAATCTTTACGTCCTTTCGTTGCCTTAAAATGCAAGTACTTGAATGCGCGTGTGTATGCATGTGTGCGTATGTATTTGTGCTCGCCATATATGCAGGCTATACAATGAGCGACAAATGTTGATGGAAAAGTATTTTAAAAGGCGAAATGAACTTATATTACAACCTAAACAAAAACAAAGACTTGGACTTATTAAATGGAAATACAATCTATCATTTTACTAATTAAAAAATTAGCGCTGCTAAACTTACTTTATTTGTTTCACAAGCTTACTTATTTGCAAAATCAAGCGCAATGAATAGAAACAAATGCTTCCTTACAAATTTAAATAATTAATGTACGTATATAAATGCACAGCTGAATGAATAATGCTGTCAGGCACTGTGCATAATAGAATGAGTTGCTGCGGTTCCTGTTGTTGTTGTTGCTGCTGCCGCTGCTGCTGCTGTTGCTGTTGCTGTTATTGCTGGTTGTCATTGCCAACTAAATTGCATTGAGCTGTCACATTAGAGAAGCAACTCGATACGCCAGTTGCTTGCATCTCTCTGTCTCTCCTTTGCCCCGCTTTGCTTGCTCTCTGCTTGCTGGCACTTTATACTCAGCTGAACAGTTTTTATCAATCAACTTTGGAGGTGTTGGTGTCGCCGCTATTGTCGTGGTCGCCTTTGTTTTTGTTGTTGTTGTTGCTGTTGTTTTTGCTATTTGTTGTTGCGTGCACTTTAGTTGAAATTGCCGTTGACGTTGACTGTGTGGAATACATATTTTTATTTTTATTCAATTTCAACGTCACTTGAACGTCGCTGACGACGTCGGCGTCGGCGTCGTCGACGCCGCTGTCAACATAATCATCATCATCATCATCAGCAAGAACAACATTATCATTTGTGTGCCTTGGCTGCTGGCTGCTGGCTGTTGACTGTGTTTGTTTTTGTTTTTGTTTATTTCAATTATGCAGCGTCTATCGTCTATCGTTTATCGTTTATCGCGCCAGGCCAATCCAATTGGATAAGCCACGCAGCTGTCGCGCCGCTTAAAGTGCACTTCCTTATGGCCTGGCGGCAGCGGTCTGCGAGCCGCCTTCCCACTTGGCTAATTGGAGTGGGGACAGTGTGGACAGCGGGGAGCCGATGGGGCGGCTGGGGCAGCAGTTCACAGCTCCGTTTCGAATTGCAATTGCAATTCCTACGGCCGCTTGAGTGAACGTTTATTTATTTACTTATTTAGTTTGTGCAACTGATGCGTATCTGTTGCAGTTGCATTTCGCACTCGCTCTGCTCTAACGGGAAGTCGCCGTTGAGTGCGCCCAAAGGAAGTGCATTCGAATGAATGCACATCTGATAAACATAATGCCCATAGACAGCTACCGGCCCCGATACCGATACCGATATCGATATCAATCGCACCGCTTGCAACCACTTGAGTTGCACTTTAATTAGCTTTCGCACTGATTTCTCGTTCTGAAGGTTGCCCCTCCCCCCAATGCAAACACTAACGTGTTGCGATATCCGCCTTACTGGCTTTCAGTTGGCAAATGTAACATGAAGATGCAAGCAAGTATAAATCCTCATGATTATGCTTATAAGGCAAGAATCTAAGCGGCCTTTTTTAGAAAGCAAAATTATTTTATGTACCTTACTTTCGATTGTTAGTAGAAATAAGCATTTAATTTTTTTTGGATCCTTTTAAAATATATAGGCAGCTGGCAAATTTGACATGAAGATGCATTTAGGTGTAAACTTTAATAACTAAATACAAGCACAATGTAGACATTTTTCACTTTTTCTAATACTTATGCTGAAAAGAAAAAGTGTTTATTGGGTTTCTCAGCGCATATGGAACGATTTGTTCGATTTAAACCCAATCTAATTAAATTTATAGAGAATTAGGGTTGGGTTTTTGGGGCTAGATTTGATTGAGAATCAGTTAAGTCCCAAAAATGCACAGTGAAAACCAGATACAAATAACTTGAGGACCTGTTTAGAATCCTGTTTCAACAATTTGCCACGGCTTAGTCTGTAATTAAATCGCTTTTAACGTTTAGCAAACCTCAAGCACATAAATTCGCTGCTATTTGAACCTTTTGCCCGTTGAATTTATCCGGATTATCAGTAGGGGCTAGGGCCAAGGGTTGGGCCTGAGCTGAAACACGCCCGATTAAGACATTTTGCGGTCATCTTCATGTGTAAACCATTTGGGCCTGCATATAATTACGTCCGAGGCTTCTAGGCGGCTCATTCATCACGCTGCCAACGGGCATACGAAAAGTATCTCAAAGATTGTTAGCACTTGGGCCGAGAGTGGGCGTGTTTGGGCAGACAAGACAAGAGTTATTTATGTTGGATAGGCAGCGGCAACTATTAAAAGTAACTACTTAGCAAACACTGAAGCCGAGCAACCCCCGATCCCGACCCCGACCACGACCTCAAACCTATCCCTGACCCCGGACCGGACCACCCAACCGAAAGTTTTTCGGCAAAGTGCCATTTAGTTAAACATTTTGACACATGATAAATGAGTCGTAGAAGCCGACAACCCTCCATTAGGTCGGACATATGTTGAGTCCAGCCCCCATCCTTTGGGCAGTGATCTCGCTCCTCCTGGCAATTAAAGTGCCATGAACGGCGCTTCGGTAACCCATAAATAGTATCTATAAAGAAAGCAGCGCCAACATGTAAATTTGCAGCGATAGAGCTCAGCGCCAACCAACCGAAAAGGACCTCCCCCCCCCAAGTCTGAGTTCCAATCGAAGGTGGCGGACTTCCGCACAGCAGCCGAGTGGAGAGAACTCATTAAATAGAAAGCATTTATTGCGTATCTAGATACAGCTCAAGATAGTTATGTATACATTTACAAATACAGATACAATCCAGCACGCCGGTAATAGAATGTCATGAGCAGCTGACACGACGGGAGCTCGTCCAGAGGGTGCGAGATTGAACGAATGAATGAATGAATAGTTGGTTGGCTGGCTGGATGGATGGATGGATGGTTGGATGGCCAGCTTCTTTCTGAATGGCGGGGTGTGATATCAAGAGTCAAAGTTTGAAGCAGCCAAAAAAGAAGCGTCGTAAAAGTCATCCTCGCCTGTCGACAGGAAGGTCATTTAAGTTTTAATGATAGAGTTCTGTGTGTGCCA